TGGATTCCCCCCTTCCCACATCCCTAAAAAGAGGAAAGCGCATCCCACGCCCTCCTCCTGCTCTTTCCCAGTAGGGAACCGGGAGGGCTCCAGGGCAGCCTGGGCCCTTCCTTAGGCCCCTTTTCCCCTCGGGAATGCTGGGAATTGCAGGAAGCAGCTCCTTCCAGGTGTGTTATCACCGGGATCCGCCCTTTTCTCCCGGAACATTCCATGATTTTTCGCCGAGCCCGTGACGGTTTGGGCTCGTTGAGGGGCCCTTTTCCCTGTTTTTCCCCTCTCCCAGAATTCCCGCTGCTCCGGGATGTCGCCTGCATGGCACCAGTTTAATGGGGATATGTACACCGGGATTATCCAGGGATTCCCCCCCCACAAACCCCATGGAATGCCCAGGTGGGAGGATCCACCTGGTGAATCCTGTGGAAAACTCAACCTCCTCCTTCCACCCCTCCCTCCAGAGGAGGATTCCAAGCGGGAACACATTGGAATTCCAGGGGGTTCGGGGGCGGGAATCAGAGCTGGATCTCCACCACCAGGTTTATCCAGGAGCCACCACCGAGCTCATCCCGATTTTTCCCACCCCTCCCTTTGTCACGGAGGGATCCCCCCCCTCCGGTTTTCCCGGCGATTCCCAGCGGGAAGAGCGGAATTCCAGAGGCAGCAGCAGCTCCAGCAGGGCCCCGGGGCCACGGCCCAGCCCCCGGGATCCCTTCCCCAAAATAAATACCACTGTCTTTGGGAAAACCACGGGGGGCTGGAGGCCATCCCAGGGATCCGGCTGCTCCTTCCAGAGGGTGTCCCTGGCCCGGAGCCGGGAGGGAAGGGGCTCCCAGGCCGGTTTTTTTGGGATGTTTTTTTTGGCATTGGAGCGGCGGGGCCGGGCGGGAGCGGCTCCGCTCACATGAAGTCGTCGGAGTCGTTGCCATCCTGGGGGGGATTAAAAAAAAAAGAGAGGGAAGATCGGGATCATTGGGAATGCTAAAAGTGGGAAATGGGGGGTGGATCATCGCAGAATTCCCCTTTGTTCCGGTTCCTTGGATTTCACCCCAGGAAAGCAGAGCAAAGGGGGCCTGGGATGGGTTGGTTTGGGGGGGAACGCAAAGCTCGTCCCATTCCATGGGCAGGGACACTTCCCAACATCCCAGGGAATCCAACCCCAGCCTGGGACACTCCCAGGGATCCAGGGGCAGCCCCAGCTTCTCTGGGAATTCCAGCCCAGCCCCTCCCCACCCTCCCAGCCAGGAATCCCTTCCCAATCTCCCCCCAAATCTCCCCTTTCCCACTGGGATCCATTCCCTGGGGCCTGGCATTCCAGGCCCTGAGCCCCAGGCCCTCTCCAGCTCTCCTGGAGCCCCTTCAGGCTCTGGAATGTGCTCCAAGCTCTCCCGGGATCCTTCCCTTCTCCAGCCTGGCCATTCCCAGCTCTCCCAGCCTGGAGCCAGAGCCTGCCATTGGATCCAGCCCCAGCCCAGCTCCTCCCTGGGAAGGAGTTCCGGGAACAAGGGGGTTCCCTGGGAATCTCGGCACTCAGGGCAGGGTCTCCCTTCCCCTTTCCTGCCTTTTCCACCCCCACATTCCATGAAAACCCCTCTGAACGCATTCTGAGTGTCCGTTATCCCGGAATCCCAGACTGGTTTGGGTGGGAAGGGCCCTCACAGCCCATCCCATTCCATGGGCAGGGACACCTCCCGCTATCCCAGGTTGCTCCAAGCCCCATCCAACACTTCCAGGGATGGAGCATCCAGTTAATCCTCACCCTGAACCTGTTCTTTCCCTTGGGATGAAAGACCTGGGAGCACTTTATCCCTATTTCCTCAGCCCCACTGATCCCCAGTGTCCTCCCAAAGTCATTCCCAGCGGGATCACGGGCAGGAGGCTGGAATTCCATCCCTGTCCCAGGGATTCCGTGGGCTCAGCAGCTCCCACTCACCTGGTTGGAGGACATGTTCTCTGCCTTCATCAGGGAGGAGTAGCTCCTGCCAGGAAAAATCCCATCGTTATCCCAAATCCGATCCCTTCAAAAGCCCCCAAAAGGGGCCATTTCGGGGTCAAAAATTCCCAAATCCCAGAAATGCACAGTTTTCCTCCTGGAGCTCAGCCAGGGGGGTTTAATTAGTCGCTCACCTCGTCCTCCTCACTAATTAAACCCGGGGCAGGGAGGTTCAGGGATGCCTGACTGCCTTTTCCAAGGTTTTTTTTTCTCCAGGATCCACCGGCCCGGAGGTGGGAAATCCCGGATTCCGGGAGCTGCAGCCCCTCCAATCCCCCTTCCCTGACCTCTCCAGGGGTTGGGTCGCTCAGGAAATCCCCAATTTTCTTTTCAATCCCTCTTTTGATGCCCTTCAGGGACAAAGAGGAGCTCGGGGAAAGCTTCCAAGGGGAGTTTTTGGAGCGAGAAATCCCCGGGAACGAGGTCCCTGTGAAGGTCAGGGCGACATTCCAGCCCCTCCTCCCTCATTCCCTGCTCCCAGGACGGGGGGGCTGAGGGCTTTAATTAACTGTTAACGAGCAGCAGGGACGGGAGAGGAAGGGAGATTAATTAATAGGGATATTTAGGGAGAGGGATATTAATGGAGAGGGATATCAAGGAAGAGGGATATTAAGGAAGAAGGATATTAAAGAAGGGGGATGTTAAGGAAGAGGGATTTAAGGAAGAGGGATATTGAAGAAGAGGGATTTAAGGAAGAGGGATATCAGGGAAGAGGGATATTAAGGAAGAGGGATGTTAAGGAAGAGGGATGTTAAGGAAGAGGGATGTTAAGGAAGAGGGATATTAAGGAAGAGGGATTTAAGGAAGAGGGATATTAATGCAAAAGGATATTAATGAAGAGGAATATTAATGAGGAGGGATATCAATGGAAAGGGATATTAAGGAAGAGGGATATCAAGGAATAGGGATGTTAAGGAAGAGGGATATCAAGGAAGAGGGATATTAAGGAAGAAGGATATCAAGGAAGGGGGATGTTAAGGAAGAGGGAAATCAGGGAAGAGGGATATTAAGGAAGAGGGATATCAAGGAAGGGGGATGTTAAGGAAGAGGGATTTTAAGGAAGAGGGATATTTATTAAGGAAGAGGGATATTAATGGAGAGGGATGTTAAGGAAGAGGGATTTAAGGAAGAGGGATTTAAGAAAGAGGGATTTTAAGGAAGAGGGATTTAAGAAAGAGGGATTTAAGGAAGAGGGATTTAAGGAAGAGGGATATTTATTAAGGAAGAGGACCATTTATTAAGGAAAAGGGATATTAATGGAGAAGGATATTAAGGAAGAGGGATATTTATTAAGGAAGAGGGCCATTTATCAAGGAAGAGGGATATTTATCAAGGAAGAGGGATATGAATGGAGGCAGAGGCAGGTGCTGAGCTCCAGGGAAGGCTCAGCGACTCCCGAAGCTCCCAGGGAGCTGGAAGTGGACCAAGGCAATAATTCCCCAATTTCCTCAGGCTTTCAAAGGCTTTGGAATCGCCCGGCCCTTGGGCAGCGGCTGGAACGGCCGGGATCGTTCCGGGATCGTTCCGGGACGGCCGCGGGACAAAGGGAACCGCCGGGCCGTGGAGAACGGGGAGCAGCAGGGCCCGGTGACCCTGGGGAACGGGATCCGCCCCTCACCTCAGCTCCTCCAGCTCCTTCTTCTTCTTCAGCTCCTCCTTCTCCCTCCTCTTCATCTCCTGGATCTGGGCCTTCTTCTCGTTCCGCTCCTCCCGGTCCCGCGCCTCCCGCTCGGCCGCCAGGTCCGGGAACCGCTCCACCTTCGTCTTCTCCAGCCGGTTCAGGATCTCGTTCACCTTCTTCTCCACGGTCAGCACCTTCACCTGGGAACGCCGGGAATCACACCGGGAAACACGGCGGGAAATACGGCGGGAAACGCGCCGGGAATCGCGCCGGGATTGGGGAGCGGCCCCGGCACTGCTGCCCACCCGGCACGGGGCTGCATCCCACAAAATCACAGCCCCAGGAAAATCCCGGCCAAAAGGGCTGGATCCCATAAAAGCACAGCCTCAGGAAAATCCCGGCCAAAAGGGCTGGATCCCACAGAACCAGAGCCTGAGGAAAATCCCTGCCAAAGGGATGGATCCCACAGAACCAGAGCCTGGGGAGAATCCCTGCCATGGGGCTGGATCCCACAAAACCAGAGCCTCAGGAAAATCCTGGCAAAAGGGCCAGATCCTGAGGAAAATCCCCACAAAACCAGATCCTGAGGAAAATCCCTGCCATGGGGCTGGATCCCACAGAACCAGAGCCTCAGGGAAATCCCTGTCACAGGGAGGAATCCCACAAAACCAGATCCTGAGGAAAATCCCTGCCAAAGGGATGGATCCCACAGAACCAGAGCCTGGGGAGAATCCCTGCCAAAGGGTTGGATCCCACAGAACCAGAGCCTCAGGAAAATCCCTGCCAAGGGGCTGGATCCCACAAAATCATGTAGTGAGGAATGTCCCCACAAAACCAAACCCTGAGGAAAATCCCTGCCAAAGGGATGGATCCCACAAAACCAGAGCCTGGGGAAAATCCTGGCAAAAGGGCCAGATCCTGAGGGAAATCCCCACAAAACCAGAGCCTGAGGAAAATCCCGGCCAAAAGGGCTGGATCCCACAAAAGCACAGCCTCAGGAAAATCCCTGCCAAAGGGCTGGATCCCACAAAACCAGAGCCTCAGGAAAATCCCTGTCACAGGGCTGGATCCCACAGAACCAGAGCCCCAGGAAAATCCCTGCCAAAAGGGCTGCATCCCACAAAATCACAGCCCCAGGAAAATCCCGGCCAAAAGGGCTGGATCCCACAGAACCAGAGCCTCAGGAAAATCCCTGCCAAAGGGCTGGATCCCACAGAACCAGAGCCTGAGGAAAATCCCTGCCAAAGGGATGGATCCCACAGAACCAGAGCCTGGGGAGAATCCCTGCCAAAGGGCCAGATCCTGAGGAAAATCCCCACAAAACCAGATCCTGAGGAAAATCCCGGCCAAAGGGCTGGATCCCACAGAACCAGAGCCTCAGGAAAATCCCTGCCAAAGGGACGGATCCCATAGAACCAGAGCCTCAGGGAAATCCCAGCCACAGGGTCAGAGCCTGAGGAAAATTCCGGCCACAGGGCTGGATCCCACAAAACCAGATAGAGAGGAAAATCCCCACAAACCCAAAACCTGAGGAAAATCTCCACAAACCCAGATCCTGATGAAAATCCCTGCCAAAGGGCTGGATCCCACAAAACCAGAGCCTCAGGAGAATCCCTGCCACAAGGCCAGATCCTGAGGAAAATCCCTGCCATGGGACTGCATCCCACAAAACCAGATCCTGAGGAAAATCCCTGCCAAAAGGGCAGGATCCCACAAAACCAGAGACTCAGGAAAATCCCTGCCACGGGACTGGATCCCACAAAACCAGATTCTGAGGAAAATCCCTGTCATGGGGCTGGATCCCACAAAACCAGAGACTCAGGAAAATCCCTGTCATGGGACTGGATCCCACAAAACCAGACTCAGGAAAATCCCTGTCATGGGACTGGATCCCACAAAACCAGAGCCTGAGGAAAATCCCTGCCATGGGACTGGATCCCACAAAACCAGAGACTCAGGAAAATCCTGGCCAAAGGGCCAGATCCTGAGGAAAATCCCTGCCAAAAGGGCTGAATCCCACAAAAACAGAGCCTGAGGAAAATCCCTGCCATGGGACTGGATCACATAAAACCAGAGCCTCGGGAAAATCCTGGCCAAAGGGCTGGATCCCACAAAACCAGAGCCTCAGGAAAATCCCGGCCAAAGGGTTGGATCCCACAGAACCAGAGACTCAGGAAAATCCCTGCCAAGGGGATGGATCCCACAGAACTAGAGCCTGAGGAAAATCCCTGTCATGGGACTGGATCCCACAAAATCATGTAGTGAGGAATGTCCCCACAAAACCAAACCCTGAGGAAAATCCCTGCCAAAGGGATGGATCCCACAAAACCAGAGCCTGGGGAAAATCCTGGCAAAAGGGCCAGATCCTGAGGGAAATCCCCACAAAACCAGAGCCTGAGGAAAATCCCGGCCAAAAGGGCAGGATCCCACAAAATCACAGCCCCAGGAAAATCCCGGCCACAAGGGCTGGATCCCACAGAACCAAACCCTGAGGAAAATTTCTGTTGTGGGACTGGATCCCACAAAACCAGAGCCTGAGGAAAATCCTGGCCAAAGGGCTAGATCCCACAAAATCATATAGTGAGGAATGTCCCCACAAACCCCAAAACCTGAGGAAAATCCCCACAAACCCAGATCCTGAGGAAAATCCCTGTCATGGGACTGGATCCCACAGAACCAAACCCTGAGGAAAATTCCTGTCACAGGGATGGATCCCACAAAACCAGAGCCTCAGGAAAATCCCTGCCAAAAGGGCAGGATCCCACAAAACCAGATCCTGAGGAAAATCCCTGTCATGGGACTGGATCCCACAAACCCAGACCCTGAGGAAAATCCCCACAAACCCAGAGCCTGAGGAAAATCCCCGCTGTGACAAACTGAGAAAAATGATTCGGGCTAATTAAGAGAAAACAGTGTAAGGTCAGCAACGACCCGGAGAGAGAGAAGAAAAATAAATCGTAAAAATTAATTGGGCCCCTGCAAAGAGATAAAACAAGTTACCTCCCTTTCACCTTCTGTAGGATTTATAGTGAAGGGATTTTGTTTAGTTAGCTGGATAATAGCACCTCTCTTAAAAATTTATAACTTTGTATAGATAACAAGCAAACATCTGTTGAATGTCTGACTTGGCAATATATTATGGATGCTTAGAGATAACATTCTTGTTAAGAAAAAAACATCTGTTAAACGTCTGACTTAACAATGTGTAATGTTTATGTATAATGAATATTCATTAATTAGCTGGAAATAAATGTAGAACAACTGTCTCCTGTGGGTGTGACAGGCGTTGGGAGCTGGTGAACCCCCTCCCTGATCACCCAGCCCTGAATTTGCTTTTATCATTTAATAAATTCTGATGGGAAATCAAGTGACTCCGGGTTTCTGTTTATCACGCTGCCAAAAGGGCTGGATCCCACAAAACCAGACCCTGAGGAAAATCCCCACAAACCCAAAACCTGAGGAAAATCCTCACAAACCCAGATCCTGAGGAAAAGCCCCACAAACCCAAAACCTGAGGAAAAGCCCCACAAACCCAAAACCTGAGGAAAAGCCCCACAAAACCAGATCCTGAGGAAAAGCCCCACAAACCCAGATCCTGAGGAAAATCCCTGTCACAGGGATGGATCCCACAAAACCAGAGCCTCAGGAAAATCCCTGCCATAGGACTGGATCCCACAAAACCAGAGCCTGAGGAAAATCCCTGCCAAAAGGGTAGGATCCCACAAAACCAGAGTCTGAGGAAAATCCC